CATGAAAGAGCAAACAAAGAACTTGAAGCACAAGAGCAAGGAACTGAATGTTTGGAATTTACCTGATGTTGATTTAAAAGTTTTCCTAAATGCAAAGAAGAGTTTGTGGCTTCAGACCACGCGAGTGATGCTGATCTCTCCAGTCTGTGAATCGAAGGACGCGTTGAGCTCTAAAGTCTCCGTGGCTTGCAGTGGCTTTCGGAAAAGCATGACGCCCTGCTTTCAGCGCAGACGTAAAACGAAAACCCTTGAGATGAGATGGAGAGAATCTTACCCACTTGGATTTATAAGTCCCGTTGAAAGTACCAAATCCTTGTTCTCGGGATCCATCACCCAGTCCATCCACAGGACAACTCCATGGCAGAGCCCAGTCTTTACAACGCTAACCTGTGCAAAAGTAGCAGAAAACATTAAGTGGTACCAAAGAGGACAGAATTGAATAACCTTTGCAAATCCACTTAGACTCTGAATTTCCTCACGCATGTTGAACTCGAGCAGCGAAAACGGTTTTGTCAATGACCTGTGATCAAAGCCATCGACTTCTTCAAGGCGACAGCGGCTTTGCCACAAATCCTGATTTAGCCAACATGAAACCAAAGTCACTGCAGAGAAAATAATCAACTTACAGGAAGATGACAAGCCATCCCATAGAGAATTCCAAAGCAGGGAACTATAATAGGGTTCTCTGATAGCAACGGACTTAGCGTCGTTCTCTCGTACCTGGATTCTCACTGCTTTAAAACAACTTCCAACTCTTTAGAAAACGAAACGAAAACGAACCAAAACCGAAGCTGCTTCCACGGCAACGCATGCTCGTACGTGGCGTAATAAGGCTCCCCTAGAAGAACATCCACCTGTCGCGAAAAGAAAGAAACCCGTCCATATCCAATGGAGTTGCAAGACTGTATACTTTATGCCCCTTGAAATCGTCCCCAGTGAGATGCTTGACGTCTTTGTGTATAGTAGACAGCTTGCTCGCGACGCTCTCCAAGTACTTCAAGCCATCTCTTCTACAGCCTGGAAACAAGCCAGCCACATGGCAGGATCCATGCGGTGTAGATAGAGCACACACGGCGCTCATCAGGCCGTCATCCCGAATGAGACAGTTTCCAAGTTCTCGTTCTCCAAGCTGGACAGAAAGAAAAAGAAACAATCGTACTCACAGATTCAAAACACACTTACAGCTTTCTGAATGGCAGACTGTATGATAGAACGCCTGCTACCGTCACCAAGCATGCGACACCTTTGTAGGCTCAGCTCGAAACCAGACGCTGAACTATTACAGCATACACCACCATTGATGTCATACCGCACTGACGCTTCATCATGGCTGACTACGACGCGAAGCTCCGACTGCTCCTCCACCGAAACACCTTGTCCAGGAAGAAACCACACACATTGTTTCCAATGGTCACACCACTCGCTTGCCCCTGAGAACACAAATCTGCGGAGTTACTCAAAGAATCAAACAGGAAAACAAACCTCTGATCCAACGAGGAGCAGTTGAGTAGCAAACCAGGCCATCTTTGTCAAGCTGCAGCACCCACCTTGTCAAGTTCAAGCAGAGAAGAAAGCGAACCAAGAAGTAGCGAATCCGAGCAAGTTTCGTACCATGAAACTATTGCGTGAGCAGTCCCAGAGAAGTTGACATGCACGGCTTGATTAAATTCTCCACGCACATCTGGAGCTCTATAGAAGTCAAGAACGAAGGCCTCAAACGGCTCGGAAAGCTGCAGCGCCACGGGTTTTGGTAACTTGTAAGAGAACTCTACTAAATTACCAGCTTCATACCGGGGATTTCATCAACGCGAAACGCATGCTGTCTGTGCTTGAAGTAAGAGTAGAAATCATTGGGAGCGAAAGCCAATCCGTCCTGCAGCCGGTCTTCTACCCCTTGAAGGTCGTGCAATCTCCAGAGAAAGTCGCTCTCGACTAGCTAAGAGAAAGAAGTAAACTCAACACTGAGCTAAGAAAAAAGACTTTGCTATATACCTGGGCATACACAGTAGCTCGATATGGCACTGTGGCAGCATTAGGCCGGAGTAAATGCTCATGAGCGTGCCTTAGACTTGGAATGATCCCTTCTCCAAGCAACTCCGAGTCTAAAATCTCACACACCTGGAGAGACAAAGAGTCCAGAGGAAACGAAGAAGAAGAACGTGTACAGACTTAGCGTACCAATGCATCGGCTTTGCTAGAGATGTCCACCCCGACTTTGATCTCATCCGAGCCCATATGGAGCAGCTTGATCGCTCCCATCGTCCCATTGTCTCGGCAAACTTTGCGAGCCAGCTTGTACATTGGAAGAAAAGATTCGCAAGCAGTCACCTGGCACTGCTCTTCCATTGCCCGCCAAGCCATGAGCGACAAGAGCCCAGTGCCAGCACTGTCAAGAACGAGCTCAGGAAACGAAAGAAGGATCTCTCTAGCCTCACCCAATGTCCAGGACATGGCCATGGCGGCCGAGCTTCGCGATTGCTGAAGAGAATGCCCTGTTCCTGGCGCGATCATTCAGCATGTCAAGATACGAGCTCTCTGCCAGGGGATCGCTCGCATCGCCGCCGTCGCCTCCATCGCCAACGAGAATCCATTCGCTCTCCCCCGTGAGCGCATTCACCCGCTGCTGGAGCATTGCTTCCTTCTAAAACCCTAAACTCACAAAGAATGAAAGAATGACTGGGCTAGCGGCGACATCTTCCTTTGCAACAAGCTCATCCAGATGTACGGGAGGTGCTCTACTGTCTCTAATGCCCGCCGCGTGTTTGACTCGCTCCCCAGAAAAGATTCCTTCTCCTGGGATCTCCTGCTCAATGCCTACGTACTGAACGGGGTTTTGGCGGAAGCCCAGAGAATCTTTGCCCCACAAGAGCGTCATGCCTTGGAATGTGCCCTTGGCGGGATATGCCCGGACTGGGCATATGCAAGAGTGCGTCAAGATGTTCGAGTCTGCGGCATGCTCCGAGAATGGACGGCTGGATCTCTCCCAGCAGCTGTTTGGCAGTATTCCTTTGATGTGGCGACGTGGAATGGCATGCTGGCAGCGTATGCCCGTGCCGGTCGTGTAGAGGAATCTACAAACTTCCTAGAAGAGATGCCAGAAAGAAGCCTGGTTTCATGCACAACAACCATGTTTTTAGGGACATTGTCTCCTGGAACTCAATGTTTGCGGCATATGCCAGTCACAGTTGCATAGAGCAGTCAACGTGCGTGTTTGAGAAAATGCCACAGAGGGATCTTGTGTCATGGACCACAATGCTGCTCTTGAAAAGCAAGTGTGGCGTACGGAATCGAGGAGATACAGCACAACTTCAACCCCGTGCCAGAGCAAGGCCTCCTATCCTTCAACACAATGCTCTCGGCATATTCTCAGCATGGGCATCTGACCAAGGCCATAAGAATGTTTGTAAGTCTCCCCCAACACGAATCTGCCACGTGGAATACTGTGCTGACAGTATATGCCGGTAATGGGCATCTGGGCAGAGATTTGAAGCTGCTGGCCCTGATTCCCGTGCCTGACATGGTTTCATATGCCGGGATGCTGGTAGCCCTAGCTCATTTGAGGCATTGGAACTGTTTGGTTCTCTAAAGACACTCCACCTCCCGGACTTGACGTGCTTTGTTTTGGGTCTGGTGGCTTGCAGCCATACTGGAAATGTGAGGCGAGGAAGGTAGTGCCTTTGCTTCAGTGGTAGCAGACTATGGAATGGAGCCAATCGATGCTTTGTGGATCTGTTGGGCCGGTCAGGGCATCTCAATGAGGCCATTGCAAACCTGCCATGTTTTGGAGTGGACTAGCTTGCTTGGGCCAGCCGTAGAGTCTTACAGAACGGGGGCCGTGCTGCAAACATGGTATTCAGGATGAATCCAGAGCAGGGAGGAGCATATGTATTGTTATCCACACTTATGAACCGGTAACACTGACATGATCATCATCGTACAAATAACTTTTCTAGCTAGCGGATAGTGGTCATTTTGTAGCATTTGGAATGGCAGCCTTTAGAAAGGCTGACATGGGAAAAGGGTATCTATTATATAACTTACGTTTTGTCCTGGAACGCCATCGCCATTTAATCCTATGTTACTAGTATAGAAAGAAATATATATTTTAAAGATTATTCCCACAAAAATATCAACATTTCAGATAAAAATGGCATATATAAGGTCATTGTTTTCATCAAGTCTTTTTTGTTTTTTCCATGGCTTTCCGTTCATTCTTTTCAATTCTCCTTGATTCAAAGGTGGTGATAGTGCCAAAAAATTCAATGGCACTTGTGTTCCTCAGCAATCTTTAGCTTTACTGATTCACTCTCTGATACTGGCAACCGCAACCTTGAAGCAGTTGCTGCTGGCGCTTTTAGTCTCTCTGGAAATTTGCCATATTGAGTGACACTTGGAAAAGCCACAGGGGATGGATATATTTGTATTGATTATCTAGCTTGTTCTCTCAAGCTTGGAGATTTTAGCTTGACTTACAATGGAACTTATTTTATGGGCTTGAATTTGGAGTGACTGTTCGTCCAACTAGTATTATAATACTTCTGTTCTCATGTTTTATCTACGCAAGTTTCAGGTTTTCTATGACATAAACAATATTACAACTTCATAAAGATAAAGCACTTTATTATATTGGTAATAATCCTAATTATGGTATGCAATATGGAAAATATCAATTCCATCTGTGGTGGCTGGCATTAAATCTAGTATTATGGATTTATATAATTCTGGTGCCAAACATTTTCTGGTGATGAATCTTCCTCGTCAAGATTGTTCTCGTGGCTATTTACAAGAGTTTGTTGATATTGGGGGTATGCAATATACAAATATTATTAAGCTATTTTGGATATCGTGAATGATATTAAAAATCAGAACGATGATATTGAACTATACTATTTTGATTGGTTCTCTGCACGCACTGAGCTTATGAAATATGGATCAATATGGATTTAAAACTTATAAAGTGGCTTGTTGCAGTGCACCAGGAGATGATTTCCATTGCAACAATCCAATATTATGTGGATGCGGAACACAAAATGGTACACTATGTGATAATCCAAGTGCACATTTATCTTTTGATGGTTTAACATTTTTATGAGGTTTCTTCCAAGATTATCAACAATTATATTACTCCTAGCGTGACTTTGTTGGGTATCCTCTGAAATTTAATTCTTATAATTTCTATTATTTTATTTTAAAAGATAGCTTGGTGTTTTGGCTGATCAAGAGAGAATGCAGTTTCATCGAAAGTGGTAGGAATCCAGCAATGCGACATTGGCCAATGCGCCTTGGCTTAGAACCGATATCAGCAAGAAATATGGCTGTGCATTGTTGTGAGGTTAAGCATCGATCGGTCTTTAACTGGTTTAGCGTGATACGTCTGGAAAAGAGCCCCTTGAGTCCGCCATTGTATGCTCAACAAGAAGAGATGGTTAACGAACAAAGGCTAAACTCTTTTTTTTTAATCTTCCCTTTGCTTAATAAGAATACGTATATTTATACTATCGTTTTAAACATCGTATGTACATAATCATAACGGCGGCGGCGGCGGCGGCGGCGGTGGTGCCTTCGGGTAATACAGTAGCTTCTCCAGCCGCAGCACTACGCCGCAGTGGTAAGGCAGCACTGGATGCCGGTGGAGATACATGGGACTGATGGTCAGCCACGAGAGGCCATAAAATTCCGCTCCAAGTTGCTCTAGAACGTAGCGGATTTGCAGCTTGATGCCGCTGCTGCTCCCTGGCTTCCCTGTGCCCACACTGCTGCTACTACCGGCGTTGTCACACAAGCCATTCCCACCCAGACGCATCCCTTGCATCTCCTGTCTCGAGCCTTGGAGGAGCCGAAGTGTGCTACGAGACCGTTCTGGAGCGTCCTCGGCCATTCCTCCTCCATGGAAACATGAACAACCTCGGCTCGTAGAGCTGTGGTCGGGCCGGAGATGACGTAGCCGGATGCAACGGGAGAGATGGAGCCTCTGCTCTGTATCCACTGTCCAAATGCCGTGGCGTTGGCTACGGACCATGTCGAAGCCGCTGGAATAAAGTATCAGTCAGCGAATACTTAAATACGAAAAAAACTTCTAGCTTACCAGTTGATTCGGTCAGGCTCGGCCCCTGCAATAACTCGTCACCAGACACCGTCCCCAAGGTTACACCGGCCAGCATCCCAGCATGAAAGTTGATCTCCGGCTTTGGGAGTAAACCACGCAAAACAAAAGAGGCCGAATCACCACGGGCCATGCTCTGGATTCGTCCAGCCAGTGAGGTTGTGTCTTGCTGGGAACTTGTAAAACTCGCGACAATCTGGAGAGAGGGCTTTGGATTCACCGTCAGAGGCGATAACTTCATCCTATGTACGTTCCAAACAGTAAACGTTTTCAAGCATTTAAAAAGCTCGTTCTCTCGTGGGCTGGCAGGACATATTTCAGATCACATGTACAAGCCAAAGCAATGCCAACGATTGCTATTTTGTTGTAGCCATGGTTTATGGACAGTGCCAAGTACGACATTGGTCCCATTACACCTACTGTGTTTGGAGGAAATGGCTCACTGTGTTGACATTTTCAGTGAAGGTGCATTGGATTTGATGGATTTGATAGATATTCATAAACCAACTATTCCAGCTTGCAGGGATTAGGAACTCTCTAACTGCTTCTAGCTTGTTCAGCTCTCCTGAGATTCGGCAGATATTAGTCACCTACAAGGCAGCATTCCTCTCAGCTTTCCGAGCATACTTCTGTTAAACTCCAACAAACTGGGAGGCCATCTTCTCGGGTGAGCCTTCCAAAAATTTCAGCTCCAATGCGACCAACAACAGGTTTGAAGGCAGTGTTCCATCAAGGAACTTTAGCAGCAACCAAACAAGTTGTCTGGGAAGCTACCAACTCAATGTGAACCACTGTACCAACACCAATATGAGAATTGAAGAAACTCTTTGCGTCGAGTCCTTGTTATTGATCATGCTTGGGTTCAATGGTTGACTCTTCCCCATGGCCTGGTTCAATTAAAGTTTGCATTGTTAGTGCAAAATGGTCCTGGGATCCAAACTTTCAGCCAGCTGGAGGGATGGATGCTGTTGGAAAATGGTTGGACAGGCAGGACCTCCTACACCGGTGCCAGGTGCTCTACCAGTGAGCTACCTGCCTTGGTTGTGTGCATGTTCAGCTTAGTTCTAACAGATGCTGCCATTTACTCTATTTTATGAGCTCTCAACACAGGAGTAATCCAGCTTTCCCTACCTAAGAGCAAAAAATCGATCGGGGTAGCACCCCTGGTACAAGGGTTGCTAGTGGCATATATGTTTTCAATACAGACAATATCAGAAAATGAATATAAAAAATCAAAATGGTCGAGACGAGCATTTTTCCAAAATAAATTGCCACCGTATGCAACTTGTTACCCTGCACACTTGCAACCGTGCCTGATCGTTTTTCAGGCCTAGGCTCTCCAGCTTCGGTCCGCTCATTCTATCAAGGGCTGCAATCTCTACGTTTGCAACACTGGAGCTGATATTTGTTTTTGTGCTGAGACTGGGCATTGTTCCCGCATTTTACCGGTGAATCTTCGCAAAGCAAGCCACTATCTAATGCCAATTTGGCATTAGATGTCCTTTGGCATTGCCAAAGGACATTCAGCTCGCCCGTCACATCCGTGG